CCGTTCAGGATTTCTATCCGAGTTAGCAAGGTTGCTTATCATTTCGACCTACCGGATGAGCTCTGTCAGATTCATAACGCCTTCCATGTGTCTTAACTTCGGAAGTCTCTTGCTTATGAGGCTGCAGCCATTTCCTTAGATGATATTCAGATTAATGAGAGTCTGAATTATATGGTGAAGCCCATTGCGGTTCTGGACAGAAAAACAAAAGCCCTTCGGAACAAAGAAGTGAAGTTAGTAAAGGTGCATTGGCAGCACCAAAGATGCTCCAAATGGACCTGGGAGCTGGAGGACGAGATGAGAAAGCACTATCCTGATCTTTTTGCCCCAGTAGACTTCGAGGATGAAGTATAGTTCAAGTGGGGGAGATTTGTAACGCTTGGTTCAGGTATAAATTATTCATTAAACATTTAAAATCTTTGTTGGAACTCGACGAGTTAGGGAGCTCCAACTCGTCATGTTGAGAAGGATTATGGCCGCAGGTTTTAATGACCCAACTTGGTGAGTCGGGGTATCCCAACTCGATGAGTCGGTGACTGAGAAGAAACCCTAATTTTAGGGTGTTGCACCCTATTTAAAGGACATTAAACCCCTTGGCTGGCCTCCTTACCAGCCTCTCCTATCTAGAAACCCTAGATTCGTGTATCACCTTGCAAGATTGAGTGTGTGAGCTTGTGGTGAGCTTGGAGAGTTGATTTTGGTGATTATTTAGAAGGAGTTTTGAAGTTGGAAGTGCCTAGCTTGGAAGGAGGACATTGGATTCAGAAACTCTTCACCAATAGCAGTCTTTTGAGGTATAAATCCCACACCTTGCCTTGTTATAATCTAGATCTCTTTGTTTGAAGTTTTAGCATGATTTTGGGATTTTGGTTGGGGTGTCCAAGATGTTGAAATCTAACCCCTTCATGAATTCTCTTGGCTTAAAGTTGCAAATTTATTAGGTTCTAGGTCCCATTCATGCAATAAGTCCCTCATTAAACTAGAATGTATTTCTAATTTTTCATGGACGTAAAGTTGGAAACTTTACGTGATTTTCCAGCCATTGGACATTGGATTTGTGTTTTGGGGTTGTGATGTGAGGGTTTAAGTGCTTAATGGGTTAAGACTCACTCTAATAAGCCTAGGTATAGATTTTTTACTTTTTATGGATGGTTCGTAAGGGTATATTTGGAAACTTTACCCTTCTAGACATCATTTTGGAAGAGATCTACGGTCGGGAGTCCCCGAAGTCGATGGACGCAGCTTAATGCATAAAGAGGTTGGATCTCAGGCCAACTCAGCAAGTTTGTTAGTGACTCAATGAGTTGATAAGATTTTTCCCGATTAGAGAAGTCAGTGGAGATACTCGACGGGTTTAAGGAAAACTCGGCGAGTTAGGTCAACTCAAGTCGTTGACTTTGACTTTTGAACTTTAGTCTTTGTATAAGTTAGTCCTGCAAGGGGTTTTGGGGCATTTTTGGTTTGAATCTAAGGAATTGTTCCTACTTTAGGGTTAGTGTAGAGCCGATATTCGGAGTCTAGATCTAGCCAGCTATCGTTCCGTATTGAAGTGAGTTTCCTCACCTTATCAATGGGTTGAAGACACCAAGGCCAACCCATGTTATTTAGTCGTAGTGGTTATTTGCGAATGTGATTTCAATGTGTTATATATATATATATATATATATATATATATATATATATATATATATATATATATATATATGTGTGTGTGTGTGAAGACCATGTGGGGGTTCCCATGACAATTAGTCAAGACCATGTGGGGGTTCCCATGGCAATTAGTTAAGACCATGGGAGTTCTCATGACACCCGGAGTAAGACCCTGGAGGGTTCCATGGCATCCTTATATTTTTGTATGCATGTCTTATTTGGACTAATGTGGTTTTATGTGGGGTATGTTATGGGGAACTCACTACGCATTAACTTACAATTTGTTGATTGTTTCAGGTACTTCTTGATCAAAGGGCAAGGGACCGACGTGATGACGCAACATGCACTCTCCAACATTTTGTTACGGACACTCTGGTCTTTTGAATAATTATTCGATGTAATGGATTTTGGTAGATAATTTGTGATTGGAATTTACAATTAATGAACATGGGTTTTAATATATAAACGAAAATTTTTATGTGAAAATTTTGGGTCGTAACCACCTTCATCATTCTTTCACATGTAAACTCAGAAGAATAACCATGAATATTGAGATGTGGTTACCCGACTTGTCATTGAAAGCCCACATTAAGAGAGATGGAGAGAAAGAAAGGTCTTTGAAACCCTTATGCCCGACATGAAAGGCAGCGACTCCATAATCTAGGAGGGTTTTGTGATGATTTTTGCACCAGATCGTCATATTACTAATATGGATTTCACACATAATGACACACACAAATGGGTTTGTTTTTCTTAGATCTTCCATATTTTAATCTTGATTTCACAAACAGGTCTATAAACACACATTCCAGTGTCGAACGTCACGTTAGTATACCTTGCTGCAAACCTACATCTCGGTAGTCAGGAATCGAAAAAAGAACTAGATGGCATAGATGGGTTCTTAGCAACAAATTTTATTTAATCACCTCCTCCGAATTAAAAAACCCTTTTGGAGAAGCATAAAAAACAGTCTTTTGGATTTTGTTAAGGATAGAGATGAACACAAACACACAAAGCAATTTCATTTATGGTCTTATCGGTATTCAATAATTTCATTTATGGGTTCACAGATGAACATCAATTCTGTTTATAGGTTCATGGGTGTTCTTCAATTTCATTTTCAGAGGGAATGTATTGTTGATAGGAAAACCCATTTGATAAAGATGAATATGCTATGTAATGCTTGTGTTATAGATGTATCTTATAGAGAGAAAATAGAGATAGGAAGTGAGTTGGGGAGAGAGATGATGGTTGGGATAATGATTTTTATTTTTTAATAAATATATAACAAAAAGAAATAGAGAAAACATATAAAAATTAAATTTATGCTTGTAATAGTCATTTCAAGTTTGATATGGACTAAATCCATAAAAATCAATTTTTTGAGGGACCAAAACCATACAAAATTATTTGTTTCGGAGCATTGATTCAAATCAAAAAGATTTTAGATTCTATCCATATTTTTTTACATACACGAGGATCAATTTTACAGTTTGCTCTACATCTATAAATCAAGTGTTTTCTTATCATTTTGTGAAATGATGAGAGTACAAGAAGGTACCATACATACAAAGATGAGGCTTTAGGTTCTCTCTTTCTCTTTCTCTCTCTCTCTCTCTCTCTCTCTATATATATATATATATATATATATATATATATATATATGCAAATAGAGAACCATTATTAATCAGTGAACTAAGAAATCAATCCAAAACGTCGAAATTTAAAACCATCAACGGCAAAATGAATGGTTGCAGATTTTTACAATGGACGCACATGCATCATATTATAACAAAACTTACTTCTTTTTCTTTATTTTAATTTTTTTAGGACATGTTTTTTGTCGAAAAAAAATCAAATATATTGTTGTTCGTGATTTTTCGTCCTCGTTCCATAGAGATTCATATTGATATATAAAAATGATTTTTTTTTTCAAAAAACTCACTTTATTATTTTTTTTGTTTGTTGAAAATTTAAGGTCTATTTTTTTATAAAAAAAAATTAATAAATATCAAAATTCATATTTTTAATACTCCTTAAACATAGATTCATATTGATATTTAAAAAAAAATTCAAAATTTCAGTTAAAATTCAGATTGTGAACGTGTTCATATTCACATTGTGTGTCTGCTCATATTCACCTTATGAATAATAATAAGTCGAATTCACAATGTGAAGAAATACAATTGTTGATTTTACAAAACTAATTTATAAGTAATGAAAACGTTCAAAAATTATAAAACTACATGGAATATATTTCAATTCAAATGTCAAAGAGTTGAAATATTAAGTCAAATTCACATTGTGAATGTTATAAGTTGAAATATTTACAGTATGAATTCACAATGTAAATCTGAACTGATCGAGTTTTTATTTTATTTTTATTTTTTTTAATCAGTGTTCATGTTTATTAATTGAGTACAAAAAAATTAATATTTTTGGTATAATTAGTTTTTTTAGATAAAAATAAACTTAAATATTGAAAAAAATAACAAAATGAAGTTTTTTTTTTTTCGAAAAAAAAGTTCGTTTTTTATATATCAACATTGACCTTTATAGAAAGATGACGAAAAATCGTGAACAACGGTATATTCGGTTTTTTTTTTCAATAAAATATGTGGCCTAAAAAAATTTAAACAAAAAAAATGAGTTTTTTTTTTTTTTTTGTAAGGAGATTGATTTTTTGGTATAATAACACTATTCGTCTTCTCCTATGGACCCGCCATCTTCTTCCAATCGATTTCTAACACTAGCTTTGTTCATCTGTCTTCCCTTTCGTTCTCGGTTAAAGTTGTTTGCCCTCAATTAATTCCACAGTCGGTTCCCTGTCTGCTCCACCCATGTTGTAGCCTAATGCGTACCCTCCGTCTGTACGCCGCACGTTTGTTCACAATTTGTCTACTTCACATGGTCCATGTTTGATTTTTGTTTCATTGTATGTTAAGTTTGGCTATTGTGTTTGAAAAACATGACCTTTGAAGCCTTAATTCGCACTTCAGAACCTATCAGATAATTCGTATTTTGAAGCTTTTGATTTTTGGGTAGGTACGTTGAGATTGGATGCATAATTGAATTCCTTTTCTTCAATTTGTATGTTGGTTACACAATTATTGATGATCATGAACCAACACGTGTATCGACTTCAATTTCCACCTCCGTGTTCTGAGAAAGGTTTCAAACTACAGGTGGCGTCTTTAACATTTTTCTTTGTTCAAGAAATGAATTTTTGCATTTTTATCCGTTGATAGCATCATACTTTCATTTGTATCCGATAATACATTATGATGCTACTAATGGATAATAAGCAAGTATGATGCTATTATGATGTAAAAACAAAATATAAATTATGATGCTATTACACAAATTAACAAACAAAAACAACAGGAGCAGGGGAAATATTATTTAAGAACTGCAAAATCATAAAACTAAACCCAAATATAACTCTATAATGTTAAAAATAAACAATCTATAAAGTAGAATGCTATTAAATTATTGAAACAAACATTTTTAATGCAGTAAAATCAACTTTTGGATATTTTAAGTGGATTCTCCCTTTTAAAACTATTTCAACTTTTGTAAAGATACTAAGAAAGATTGCGCTTTAGCTCTGCATTGGGAGATACAACTTTAGAAAAACGGTATTTGGCCAACGGACTCGTCGCTGTGCTTTTCTCAACATTAGAGGCTGGAGTGATGTTATCTCCCGTGAATGATATTGCATCCTTTTTTTTAAGTACATAAAAAATGTTAGTTAAGTAGTAATGCAAATAAAGTTAAATTAAAATTAAACTTTAAATCTAAAATAAATAGCACCTTGAAATTGGTAGTTTCTTGAGATGTGACTTCAAAGGTTGCAGTGTTGAATGAGTCGGAATCAACATGCTACAAATAAGAACATACTAAGAATGTATTAAACAATATAATAGTATAGGGATTAAATAATTTGTGCAAAATTAATACCTCGTCAACTGTAAACTTCTTTTCAAGTTCAGAATGTATTTTACGGTCAGCAGTCAACTTTCGTATTGAATACCCTTGTACTTTATTTTTCAAATTATATTCAGAAACTTCAATCAGAAACGCAAATTTCCTCTCAAGCAAATCAGTGATTTCAACTGGGAAAATAGCAGTATTACCATCCTACAAGACAAATGGAATTGAATAACATGTAAGATAAAACATGAGAAGAACAATTAAGTTGTATAGTAAAACAGACCCAACCTCATTAAAAATTTCCAGCAATTCTTGTGCATTTTTTCTTAAAAGCCTATTAGCATCACCATCAAAAAGAGTCAATGAAATTACTCCTGTAGGATCTTGGACTCTAATTGGGATTTTAAACCTAAACATATTAAAAAACAATAATGAAATATTTCATTAATGTGTAAAAAAATAATAACAATAAGAAAGCTTAAAGTATGTGTCCAATACCTAGGAAGAACAGATACTACAACTTTATTGTTGCAGATTGAGGATGAACACACAAACATTTTTTTGCCGTTTGATCCATCATTTAGCTCAATGTTCATCATAATATCTTCATCAACCTTCTTATGACACAATTTACATCCCTAATAATACCATGAAAAATCTGTGCACACACGCTTAACTGTACCAAGCACAATTACTCGGCTTACCTATAAAAAACAGAAGTTGTTTTAGTATACAATCAATTGAAATTAGGTAAAACTTGAAAAAATACCTTTGTGATTTCTTGGATTTCGGTAATGGGTTTGAAGTCATGTTTCAAAAGAAACTCATCGGTCTCATAATACAACAGGGATGATGAATCTTTGCTACAATTAGCAGATAGATTTTCAAAAGAATTTTTGGAAACCAAACTGTTCATGAATAAAGTTTAATCTTTGTTATGTAAAAATGCATAAAAACAATACAATATTAAGAAAAAAAGATGGAAGCTATCTAACGTGTTCTTGAATAGTAGGATTTCTTCTATGTTAGCATTGATGTAAAGCTTGGTAACAAAGTACCAATTTGAAACAGACAAACAACCTGCAAAAAAGAGTTATATTTTAGGTTTCTGTATAAAATATGGAACAAATATTAATTTTTATGTTGTAGTTATTTGAGTAGGGTGAAAACATTACAATTGGTTCCCAATAAAATATACTATCATTTTGTTGTTTAAAGTGGGAGGAATTTTTTACTTGTTAAAGTATAATGTTGTTTTTTGCTTTTGATGTTCTGCACTAAATTTTACTTTTGGAAAAATAATATAAAGATTCAGGGGCAAATTAGTCATGAAAAAGAATAATAGTATACGTTATAATGAAAAAACTATAAAAAATAATTTTATAGAGTACAAATGTGCATATGATGCATATTGTCTATAGGTTAGTTGTTTAATTTAAGCTTTATTTAAAAAATTGGATTTGTGAAGGGACAATAATGGTAACCAAACAAAAAATATTATAGTAAGAAACATACCTCGATAATCAGACACTTTTCCAAACTGAATAATTATTATAACAGTCCTTTCTTCCGGATTATTTGACACATAATCAACAAATTGTTGAGCATACTCATCCCATAAAGTAACACTCACTTTTCGGCCCCTGAAAAAATGAAGTAAGGGGAAATGAGATTGTTATACAGGTAAAATAAAATTGTTTGTGTACAATAACCGGTTCTCACTCTAAATCTTGGATTTGCACATTCTGTCTACGTGTTTCCTTGCCATGCTTTGACATAAAAGTCTCCTTTGGAAAATATAAAAGCACGTGACCAATTACATCTAGAGAAAATCAAAGTATAACACAAAGTAGAACATAGGTATTAGGAATGGTAATGTAAGAAATAAAAGTATAATAAATTAAATAATTAAATTTAGATTAAGCACTAACCGACTGGTGTTTTTTCTAGAATATTATTTCCAATGATTGTTTGGTAGTTCTCAAAAGAAAAACCGTACAGAGGACCCACAAAATCATTGGATTTGGTAACCATTGTGATTGGACAGAAATGTAATTTGTTTGAATTATTCACAAATTTGTTATCCGCAGTGTTTTCACCAACTTGAGGATTCTCGATATAATAAGATTCATTTTCAGCAAGCATCTTTTCAAATCTGAAAACCCACCTACTTGGAACTTGAGCTTCAATTTTAGTACCCTATATGCAAAAATCATAATTTAGAATAATAACATAATTATTAGAATACAATTGAGAAGTAGTATGCTTAACAAAAAATGAGCTAAAAAACTGAAAATTGAATAAATACCTCTTCATCAACTAATATTATATCAATACGAAAAGTCTTCTTCTTATCATAAGTTAGTTGTTTAGTCAATCGAATGACTCGAACTTTCAAAGTGAACTTCTCATGCGACAAATCAAGTTGTCCAAGTAGTGTGATGTTTTTTGGAGCCATGAATCTGTAAGACGCACAACCTACAGAAGCTACATTATAGACAAAGCTAATAAAACTTAAGTCATAGTCCAATAGTTTAATTTGGGGGTTATCAATTATAAGAAACAAACACCAATTAACAATATGAAACATTATTACTCATTCAAACAAAATATAAGTATTATGTTATCACGAACAAAAAAAGATAACAAACAAATTCTTAATTAAAAGGACGATACTACCCTTATACCCAAGTGGAACTTTGGGGGTTATCAATACTTATTCGTAACTGTAATAACGCCAACAATAAACATTTTGAAACATTTTTTACTCATTCGAACAAAATAAAAATATTATGTTATAATGAACAAAAAAGATACATAATCTAATATATTGTGGCAAATTTAACATTTTCTAATTTTTTCCAAAACAGAATGTACACCAAATTGAAAAAAAAAACAGTCACATTTATGATTTTTTTAACAGAAAAGTTGTTGTTTTTTTTGTTTTTTTTGCAGAGTTAATCGATCACGTGTGAAGGGATAATTTGATGCAAGTGACATTTTACAATCTTAATTGAAGTCGTATATTAAGATTCCTACAAACTTGCAAATTACACCAAGTGGGTTATTTAACACATAATACTCATTTTGAACAATTATCGAGAAATACATACCAAAAACTGTTATGAGCATATAAGTCATAGTCCAATAGTTTAATTTGGTTGAGGCATTTTAGCAAACACATAGAGTGCGATATATGAACATTTTAGCAAACATAAAAAATTAACCATCTGAATGAAGCATTCAATCAACAAATCATATAAGATTCTTCTTTGAACATTACCAGATGATGGTATGTATAAGATGAAGGAAATAAAATACATACCTGTATGCAGACTGCGTTGAAGAAGAATAACAATGACAGCTTCTACAGATGGGAAATTGCGAGAATGATAGATGATAGCAAACATATTTATACACAGTTTTGATTATAGAATCCATTCTGTTTCCTAAAATATTGAGATGTTACGCTGTGAATCTCAAAATCAAATCCTTTATCGTAGCCTATAATTTCAGGAAAACGTCAATTCCCTGTCAGTTTTTGCTGATTTTTAGGGGATTTAAAATTGACATCCAATTATACGCAGAAAATTTTGTATCGAATGATGGTGACGAGATATACGATACAGGAATGTGAGCGTGAGAAACTTGTTTTGGTAGGGAAAATGGAAAATAGTGTTTTTTAAGAAAATGTAGTGTTCGTCCGTTTTTTTTTTTTTTTTTTTTTTTTGTATTAAAAATGTCATTTCAATCATGTGATATCGGCAGTTGTTGGGTATAAGCCTAAAGCCTTTATATCCAATTTACTTAGATTTTTTATCTAAATGACCATTATGACGTTTATATCCAATTTACTTATATTTTAAATGTATATTAATAATTTATTTTCATTATTTTAAAATTGGCATACTTCAAAAAATGATAATACACTAATATGAAACTCTTAAAACATAAATCAATTTTATTTGTTAAATGTTGTTATTTTGACCATTTTAATGGCAAATAATCATTTTGACAATGATACAACCATATTGAATTCTACTTGAATATTATTTTCATTTTTTTAAATGTACAATTACTAAAAAATTTATAATTAAATGATTAATGATTACACATTCATATTTATTTTTTCATGGTATAGTAATATAAAGTTGAATTTTAGAAATAAATATAAACGAAATGATGAATAATTCAATAACCGAATCTATATTAATAAAAAAAAGTATTGAAATATTTTAAAAAATTACTCACAAATTTCCAAATACTTCTTTGAATACAACATTTGACGTTTTATTGCTAAGGTTGCCATCACTATCTAAAACTAATATTTTTAATCCATCTTTGCTTTTAACTCTCGACAATGCAACATACAATTGTCCATGAGTGAACACTGGTTGTCTAAAAAATAAACCGACTTTCGATAGTGATTGTCCTTGAATCTTGTTTATTGTCATTGCAAAACATACAGCCAATGGAAATTGTCTTCTTTGAAACGTGAAAGGAATTCTTTTTTCTGAAGGAGTTAAGGTCATTCTTGGAATAAAAGTTCGGTTTCCTATATTACTTCCGGAAATTATCTCTGCTTCAATCACACGGTTACCCAATGTTATAACTCGTAGTCTCGTTCCATTACACAATCCACTTTTCGGATCAATATTCCTCAATAACATAACTGGAACACCGACTTTTAATACCAACTTATGGATCGGCAAACCTGACGGTTTAAGACCATTTAGAACATCCGGCGAATACAAACTTTCATCAATGTCATTATGAACAAAATCTGAATGACAAAGACTGTCTGAACTCAAGTATTCTTTTTCATCACCTGGAAATAGTGATAACAGTCGATCATTTATTTCCTGAACAACTTCGTTTTTCGATGCAAGGATTGCTCTTTCTTGAAAAAACCTGGGATGCTTGGCATTTTCAATAATAGAAGGATAGACAAATGCAATTAATGAACCGATTGGATCAGATGAATCAGTAATGAGAAGGTCATCTGGTATATCAATAATTGCCTCACCATCATTGAAACCACTAACATTTCCTTCTCCTATATCCAAAAGCCAGTTTGCAAAGGCCTTTGTTTCCTCAATGTCATTTGTTCGATCACTCAACCTCATGTTTTTTGTTAATCTTAAGACTTTGCAATCTGGCCAAATGTAGGAGGAACTTAATGAAGCATTCACAATGTCTTGTCTGCTTCCGTTTGGAACAAAAGGTAGAATCTGCCTAAAATCGCCTCCAAAAACAATTTATTTTCCTCCAAATGGCAATTTTGAGTTGCTGCGAAGATCACGACTCAATATATCCTTCAAAGATCGATCCAACGCTTCAAATGCATGTTTATGAATCATCGGTGCCTCGTCCCATATAATCAATGATGCTCGTCTTAATAAATCGGCAACATCACTATCCGGCGCGAACGAACAAAAAGAATCCTCAGTAAGATTTATAGGAATTATAAAGCGAGAGTGTGCCGTTCTACCTCCGGTAAGTAATAACGAAGCAATACCACTTGAAGCAACATTTAAAACGATTTCACCTTCAGATCTTAAGGCTGCAGATAATGTCTTCCAAAGAAAAGTTTTCCCAGTACCACCATAGCCATATACAAAAAACACGCCTCCTTTTTTTTTGTTGAACATGGTTCATGATTTCGTCAAAAACACCTCTTTGTTCAACTGTTAATGAATCCAACAAATTAATCAACTCGTTGTGTAGAACGGTCCTATCAAAATCTAGCTCCTCGGTTATCAAACGATTGTTTGAAGAAGATATAGATTCATGATCTGGGTAAGGCATCCCATAATAATCTTTGAGGCTTGAGTTGTTTTGAAGTAAAACTTTTTCAATATCATAAAGGGTCAAGTTCTTAAGTTGATCCTCAGTAAGCGATAAACCTATATAAATTGAAAGTTAATTATTTATAAAGAAATATACACAATCATAAGTATATAGAAATAATGTTTCCAAAAATAATATGTTAACATATTACGAAAAAAAAATGTAATTGTGAATAAAAAATACTTATTAAACATAAGTACATTATTAATGCATATATATACAATTGTTAAAAAATATCATAATACCTGGAGAATTTAATCGCTTTTGTTGATTGTATAGAATTCCATCAGATAAATATTTCCATGTATTTTCCTAAACACAGGACGGGTTAGACAAACTATTCGACTTTAGCATAATTGCAAATAGAGATCGCAAATAATAACCAGACCCTGAATGACTGGCTTCCTCGATGGCATCAATGTATTCTCTATCATCTTCTAAAAGTCCAAGAGCATAACATGCCTCTCTAAAAGTAGCATATTCGTGTCCCTTTACCGTGCAGATATCTTCAAACGATTTCGGACCTTTGACTTTATTTAAAAGAATTCTTAAAAAATACGCTTCACCGAGATTAGGTGAAACTGCATGAATTCTACCGATCGATTTTCCTATTTTTCTTGGCTTCCAGCAACAATCTTTCAATTTCCATACAAATTTTGTAGGAAATTCAACGTATGAAAGTTTTTGTGCGTCTTTATTATGTTCGTTACATGTCATCCAAGCTAAGAACATCGAAGAAGAAACAGATTGTTTGTCAAGGACATCGTCGATATCGTCGTCTGCACCATACACAACATTTTGCTGTCCAGGAAGATGGAAAGGAAGTCTAACAACAGAAGGATACCTGTAAATAATTATTATTTAATTAAGAAAAATAATTAGTATTTAAAATTTATCTTTTTCTAAAACAAATTTTGTTTAGTGCTAATACCGGTAATGAACGTCAAATCCAAATATCCGCCACGAGGCTTCACATGCCGACAAATATCTACAATCGTAGTATTTCTTTATTTCATCAACTGCATCTTCAGTATCATCTGCATTGTTGCTTTGGACAACTGTCAAGGTAGCCCTATCAGGACCCTTGTTAATATATTTAAACAAATACTTGATGGAAGCACCCTGATTGCACCATTCAACATTAATGTGAGCTTGATATCTTTTCAAAAGGACTTTGTGATATGGAACGACACTTCTGTTGTCTAATTTCACACCTGACTTTTCAACAAATGAACCATCATTACGTCTCCTGTATATAGGATAACCATTAGAATCAATAGAAGTATGATCGAAGAATGGTTTTGGGAAGTTTTTTGAACACTTGTTCTCGATCATGCATGGGCATTTAGGATTATCACCACCACAAGGGCCATGCATCATGAACTCGCTGACAAGTGCATATAATTCCGGATCCTCATCTTTGTTTGGAATTTCAACAGAAATAACTCGATCAATATGTTCAACGGTAGGCAACTTGTCATCAGAGTGCATGAATAGACATATGTGGGCGTGAGGCAAGCCGCGTTTTTGAAACTCCACCGTGTAAACAACTACATATGTATATTAATAAATATCATATTATAAAATTTTGATAATATAACAAAAAATAACAGCTATAAATATAAACATATAAAATTATATTTGTGGTTATATAACATACCTGCTTGGACCGAACCCAATAATGCATTTGTCTTTAAGTCTGTAATCAACGAATCGAGCTTCATTTTAAATAGCCTAGATAGGATATCTGGCCTGTCTTCGGGATTAAGCGTTGTATCCTTAAGAAACCTTTTAATTTCTGGCCACTTTGGATTACATGTTATAGTTATGAAATAATCTGGGTACCCATACCACTTACAAAGAGACATGGCATCTAAATAGTTCTGCATCATGTACCGTGCACCACCCGTAAAAGAAGAAGGCAAGATCACACGTTTTCCGATATTGGAAATATCAGTATTTCCATGACTTTGTAGGCTACGCAAAGTTTCATAAGATTCACATCTAAGAACTTTTTGCTGGTTGCGTACGTAATATAGCCGCTCACTTTCCATCATCGTGTAGGCATCAACCAGGAATTGTTGAAAAAGTCTTTTTGAATTCAAAACTAATGAAAAAATATTCACCCTGTCTTGAATTCTATAAGCAAAGAACTCTCTCATTGTACAGTTGCGTCGTTTGGTATCCGTTGAAGGCGTAACACCTCTATGAGGGATGTCAACTCTATATCCATCATCTCCATAAAGAAAGAGTAGTGGGTATTGAAGAGCAAGGTAAGCAGGATGTAATTCATTTATACGTTGTAGACGTCCTGATTGAGTTGTTACAATGATATCTCTATTATCAATTGAATCACCAATGTCACCAACAATCAAGGCAGCAACCTCAGAAGCAGTAGGTAGGTTATACGTTCGTCCATCTGTTTGCCTTCTTCCTATAAGACGTAACTTTAAATCCACATGAGGATTTTCAGAGAAACAATCTCTTGCCCTTCTATACCACTTAACCAGTTCATTTGTTGAATCCAACATAACCTTCAAGAACTGTATGGTCTTGATATCAAGTGAATGAGAAGGTGATATGCACCCATCTTTTTCTTTACTGTTAAACATAGGTTGTATGAAATATTCAGTAATTAAATAATTAATTATATAAAGATAATAAATTAAAAAAAAAGCACACGGAAATAAATATGAAGACAAACCTGAAAGTGTTTTGTCTATTTGAAATTTCGTTTTCAGTATCATATATGTAAAGTTGAGAGAACTTTGGTTTGGATCCATATGAAGGTATAAGACTTCCCATATTATGATAATTTTGACCGCTAAGTCTGAAAGTGTACGGAGCATTGCCTTTGT